TCACCGGACCCGAAACGTTAACTCTGTTTTCTCCTTCACAGATGCTGCCAGACCTGCTGAGCTTTTCCAGCAACTTTGTTTTTGCTTTTCTTCATAAATACAAGTTGTTTCTGTCATTTCTGACTTGTTATATTTATATACAGGAGAAAGGATGCCTGGATTTGCATTGCTCTTATGTTTTTGCTAATGCAAGCTGCTCTTTCTCTTGTACTTGCTATCTTCCTGGTTGAAATGTGTTTGTAATACGCAGAGGGTTAAATCCTAGTGTGTCACACTTCATTTTTTAATAACTACCGCTTTTTCCCAAAATAGTGTTCAAGAAATTTTATTTTCACACTAACCAATGAAAGTTCCTTGGTTTTAATCATGTGTTATCGCAATTCCTGAAGTCGCTTGTTTTATTTGTTTCTCTCTGTTTTACAGCTGAGTTAGAATTCTCATTGCATAGATGTGCAATATGCTATCATTCTCAAGGGAAGTAAATATGCATTATTATAAATAATGCAAACTAATTTGAATCTTTTTGAAGCCTCCACAGAGTGTTGAAAAAATTAAATAGTTTAATCAGATCCTCAAAAGCTGCTTAATATTGAAATATTTAGTTGATGATTAAAGCCATCAAGATCCTTTTCTTTTGGTGGTGAAAGAATAGCTGTTGTTGGTAGTTACAGGATAATTTATTTAATTGACAAAATATGTGTGTCGTATGAAGTGTAATGCATATTTTTAGCTTAGGTGGGATTTTCCTTATCATGTTTGCATGTTTATTCAAGCTGTTTTTGCGGTGAGTAAGATAAAAAGATTTCGCTCCCTCAGTGGCTACTGCCTTAAAGAATGTGGATATATTCTAGGAGCTGACAGGAATGTTAAGAATCATTGTTATATCAGAGAGCTGTCACAGGTAAAATAAATGCTGGCCTTGCATTCCTCTATTCTCTATGATGTTTTAGACAATCTGATGGCAAATGATGGGTCTTTGGAAGCCAACTTTCCATCCACTGGTTGCAGATGATAAGTGAATCTCACTGGTTAGACTCCTGATCTCTAAAGACATCTTCAGTGACTTTGAATGTTGTTGCATTGTAAATAGTTCGAGTAGAATTGAAAAGATAACAAAGAGTTGTTTTTGTAGCTAGGGTGTGGGAGTTTGAAAGAGACAGCTATTAATGCTAAGACAACAAGGTGTAGAGCTGGATGAACACAGCTGGCCAAGCAGCATCAGAAGAGCAAGAAAGCATAACTCCATTCCCATTCCATCTTGGGTGGCGGCATTGGAAGACGAGCCAGAACCCATCAGTCAATGTCCAGTGTTGGAGGAGATACAGGACCCGTGCAGTGTGACTGTCCCCAGCTCGGAGCGGACGCGGAAGTGATGGTGCTGATGGCGGCAGAAAAGGAGCACATTGCCAGAATCCTGCGGACAATTTCAGACAGCGGCAACTGTAGGAGCGCAGAGTGTGAAGTCTATGGAGAGGGAAAGATAAATTTTTGAAGCTATTCTGGTTTGAGTAATATCAATTTAATATTAATTTGTTCAATATTTTACCACTTATACAATTTATTCAGTGATTTATTCTGTAATCCAGGTAAGTGCTAGACCGTGGCGACATTGTACACTTTTCACTGTATCTGTGAAAATATGAAATAAATCTAAACCTGAATCTAAATTTACTAGTGAGGTAGATTATTGCTGGTGAATTAAAGGAGCAGGTATTTCTTGTTCTGCTCATTAAAATGGATAAATATCATGAGTACTGTAAACCTGGCTGAAAGAAATACTGTAGAATGCTGCTGTGTTGCATTTGCCTTGAAAAAGGTTTTGAGAGACAAATCAGGAAAATAATAATGTTGCAATGGTAATTACCATGGAGACCTGTGCTTTCTTTGGAGATTTTTTTGGATATGACAGCTGTTAGAGAGATGGACATGACTAAGTAAAAATAACTTACTGTGATGTTTTAAATTAAGCTTTCTAAGAGGTGATTGTTAGCCTGCTTGCTGAACTGTCCAGCAACATTAATTGTCTCAGGTCCAAGGGTTTGAAATTGGCTATTTAAGGAGATAGCACCACATACGATTAACCGACATGATCTTCACCTTCCAGCCTTATTATGCAAATGGAGCATGGTTGTGGTCAAAGTAATTTGCAGTCATATAGTAAATGTATTGTGTAAGAATGCTCATATTTCTAAGTGTGCTGGCTTAATCTTGATGTTTCCCTTTTACGTTGGTCCCAGTGTGTAAATTGTCTTAATACTGTTGGAACCATTTTGCTATCTTGTTTTCATTACTAATACACTGTTGTTTCCCCCCTTTCCTGCAGTTCTTGCTCTATTTCTTCACAGATTCACTCTGATACTGTCAAATTTTGTTGAACTTAGAGTCATAGTGTCAGAAAGTCATAGAGATGTACAGCACGGAAACAGACCCTTCAGTCCAACTCGTCCATGCCGACCAGATATCCTAAATTAATATAGTCCCATTTGCCAGTATTTGGCCCATATCCCTCTAAACCCTTCCTATTCATATATCCATCCAGGTGCCTTTTAAATGTTGTAATTGTGCCAGCCTCCACTATCTCCTCTGGCAGCTCGTTCCATACATGCACCACTCTCTGTGTGAAAAAGTTGCCCCTTGGGTCTCTTTTAAATCTTTTCCCTCTCACCTTAAACCTATGCCCTGTAGTTTTGGACGCCCCCACCCCGGGGAAAAGACCTTGTCTATTTACCCTATGCATGCCCCTCATGATTTTATAAACCTCTACAAAGATCACCCCTCAGCTTGCAGGGAAAATAGCTCCATTCTATCCAGCCTCTCCCTATAGCTCAAACCCTCCAACTCTGGCAACATTCTTGTAAATCTTTTCTGAACCTTTTCAAGTTTTGTGATATCCTTCCTCTGGCAGGTAGACCAGAATTGCACATGGTATTCCAATAGTGGCCTAACCAATGTCCTGTACAGCTGCAACATGGTAAAATGGTCCTGAGTCAGGACAGCTTCATCAAGGGGAGGTCATGCCTGGCAAATCTGTTAGAATTCTTTTAGGAGGTAACAAGAAAGTTAGACAAAAGAGAGCCAGTGGATGTGATCCATTTGTATTTCCAGAAGGCCTTTGACAAGGTGTCACACAGGAGGCTGCTAAATAGGCTAAGAGCCCATGTTGTTAGGGGCAAGGTACTGGCATGGATAGAGGATTGGCTGTCTGGCAGAAGGCAGAGAGTGGGGATAAAGCAGCCAGTGACTCGTGTAGTTCTGCAGGGTTCACTGTTGGGAGCACAACTATTTACATTACACATTAACGATTTGGATAAAGGAACTGAGAGCATTGTTGCCAAGTTTGCAGATGACACAAAGATAGGTGGAGGGACAGTTAGTGTTGAGGAAGCGGGGACGCTACAGAAGAACTTGGGCAAAGAAGTGTCAGATGGAATACAATGTGGGAAAGTGTAAGCTCATGCACTTTGGTCGGAAGAATAGATACCAGACTATTTTCTAAATGGAGAAAGGTTTCAAAAATCCAAAGCACAAAGGAGTCTAGTTCAGGATTCTCAAGTTAACATGCAGCTTCAGCTGGCAGCCAGGAAGGCAAATGCAGCGATGCCATTCATTTCGAGAGGGTTGAATACAAGAGGCTGTTTTAGGCTCTACTTTGACCACATTTGGAATATAGTGAGCAGTTTTGGGTCCCGTACCTAAGGAAAGATGTGTTGGCATTGGAGAGAATTCAGAGGAGGATTGGAAGAATGATCCTGGGGATCAAGGGATTGTCATTTGGTGAGCGGTTGAGGACTCTGGGTCTGTACTAGATAGAGTTTAGAAGGATGAGAGGGGATCTGATTGAAATTTACAGAATACTGAAAGGTCTTTTGAGAGTGAGTGGAGAAGATGTCGCCAATGGTAGGAGAAACAAGGATTCAGGGGCACAACCTTAGAGTGAAGAGTCAACCTTTAGAACTGAGATGAGGAGGAATTTCTTCAGCCAGAGGGTGGTTAATCGGTGAAACTCATTGCTGCAGAGGGCTGTGGAGGCCAAGTCATTGAGTATATTTAAGACAGATAGATAGGTTCTTGATTAGTAAGGGGATCAAGAGTTACAGGGAGAAAGCAGGAGAATGGGTTGAAGGAACACATCAGCCATAATTGAATGGTGGAGCAGATTTGATAGGCCGAATGGCCTCATTCTGCTCCTATATCTTATGTTCTTATAGAGCCAAGAGGCACAGGTTCAAGTCCCACCTGCTCCAGAGGTGTGTCGTAACATGTCTGAGCAGGTTGACTAAAAATGGACATTCTAGGACACAAAGTGTTGTCCCCTGGTGGACTGTGCTTGTAAATTATTTTAATTAGCAGTACAGGTGATTTAGTGGTAGTTTAATAAAAATGAAAAGGAATGCTGAGTTTGGCTCCAAAAGCATGTTGTAACATACCTGAACAAATTGTGCTTTTTTAAAAAAAAGATAAGAAATGTTAGCCCTTTCACAATCTTCATTGTTTTTGGTGGGATTTGCAAGTTTACTGTCTCATTGGCAGTATGTTTGGCATGTGTAATAAGTAGTTGTTTGGCAGTACAGAATTTCAGCATTACTGCTGAAAAGGCACATTGTATTGAAACTTTTCGTCTTGTAGTCATCAGGACAGTTCACAAGTGTATTTAGGGGAAACATAGTAATTACATTACATGAGATCAAAGCACTCATTGGTTGTCAAATGCACTCTGATTGGTAGCGGTGTTGTCTTGGACAACAGAGCAGCTATACCTTGGTGTAGTAATTAATTGTTGCTTGTATTTATGAAAATACAGTAAAATATGTATAAGTTGCCTTAATTAATCATGTACCCATCCAGCTACCTTTTAAATGTTGTAATTGTACCCATCTCCACCATTTCCTCTGGCAACTTGTTTTATACACGCACCATCCTCTACGTGAAAAAGTTGCCCTTCAGATTCTTTTTAAATCTTTCCCTCTCAAATTAAACCTATGCCCCCTAGTTTTGGACTCCCCCACCCTAGGAAAAAGACCTTGGCTGTTCACCCTATCGGCTCCCCTCATGATTTTATAAACCTCTATAAGGTCACCCCTCAGTTTCCAATGCTCTAGGGAAAACAGCCCCAGCCTATTCAACCTCTCCCTATAGCTCAAACCCTCCAATCCTGGCAGCATATTTTCCTGAACCCTTTCAAGTTGAACAGCATCTTTCCTATAGCAGGGAAACTGGAATTGAATGCAATATTGTTTAAATCTTATATCAGGTCAGTTGACTTGGATTGGTCAGGGCATTGCTTTGAGAAATGAGCAAACTGCTGTCACCCATTTTGTTGAGTTTGAACAGGCACAACACACATGCGTATTCCTTCTATGCCCTGTTCTTTGCAGGTGATAAGCATTCACTGAAAGTGAAACCGAAGTAGTTGGAGAAACTCAGCAAGCCTGGCAGCTAGTGTAGAGAGAAAGCAGAGTCAACATTTCAGGTCCAGTGATTAAAAGTTCTGAAAAAGGGTCACTGGACCTGAAATATTTCAGATTTTCAGCATCCGTAGTTGTATGTTTTTTTTGATAGGCATTCACTGGTTCATTTCTCAGTTCGGTACCCTAAACTAATCAGTCAACCTGCGCAGTTTAAAATTTAAACAAAGCCTTGTGGTTAACTGTCAATTAGTATTAGTGTTGTCATTCTCCATAACAACACCTGTACCACTCAGAGCTAACTTGCCAACCAGTCGGCACATTCTTCTCATGCAATATAAATATTGGTTTTCCCTTTGAATTGGTATTCTTGCAAATTGTCCTGAGAGTGCAAGATGAAAAGCTTCGACAAAGTATCTTTTTTAAACAGTACTCAAGTTCTGTATTACCAAGTAACTATTCGAAATGTGAGACAGACCATTTTTGGGATATCAACAAAGTGCAACTTGCGTGTAAATTAAGAACAGGTAAATTTTTTTGCTGTTGAATTTCTTCAAGAGTGTGTTAAACTAAGGGTACCAATGTTCATTTCCAAACCTATTAATAATGCTAGACTGAGACAGCCCCACGTTTAAGCAGGCATGATGAGGTTGAACAGATTGGTAACAGAACATGCCGTAATTTAGTAATCCTACATTTGGTTTCGTTTGAAGTGCGCAGGTTTCTTTTTTTTATTTGACCCTTTTATGCTGGTATAGTTTATTCCAATACCTAACCACACCATGTGTAAGTTTAAGACTGTGCTATACTGATACTTGACCAGTAGGGGAACAAAGGATTAAGGGGAAAGGAGTGTCAGATCAGCCATAATCCTGTTGAGTGTTGGAGCCATCTCGGAGCTGAATGACCTACTCCTGTCCCTGTTCTTAAGGTTTTATTTTCAGATTTTGTGATTTTGGCTCGTCAATCTAAATTTAACATTAACTGTTTACTTTGGGAATACTAAATTATTTGCATCTGAGGCCAGAGATCCTAGTATATTGGGACCGA